CTAAGATTTGATAGGACCGTCGTCTAACTTCTGCACTAATTAATTGGCTATATAAAATTATATTTATCAAATAAATACGATGCATGTTCAAATCAAGTAGTTAGTAACGTGCACGTAGAAATCCTTAGTTAGAAACTATATTCAATAGGGTAGGAAACTAAGGTTTGCATATCAAATTGTGATTAATTTTATTTACTAAATTCAAGGAATTGAAGAGACCAACAATCATGAACTTGAAAGAACTACTCAGAGCAAAAAAAAATGAGACTTGACAACAAAAATAAAAAGACAGACATGTGTCCAAGAAGAAACAAATCATGGGGCTAAATTAAAGTGTAATACACGTGTCTATGTGTTAAGTGAAGAAAAATTAAATTATTGATTGTACAACTGACATAACTTTGTGTATCATTATTTGATGCATGATTCATCTCATGGTTGTTTCAAGACATCCCGCCTTCCATGAGTTGTAGAGAGAAAATGTTGAATCTTCTAACATTCTACTACTTCGATAGTTGTAAAACCAACACAACAACTTTATTTTTCTCCACTAAGAGATCCATTAAAGAAATTTCAAATATCTTTTGCAACAACGAAAAGAGTTTCATTATCTGATGAAGTGATGAAAAATATAGAGGTACTTGCTGGAAGAAAAAAATAACCAGTCCCAACCGAACAATATCATGCAAGACGGGCATTTTAACTTTGACATTAACAAAGTCAGAATGAATGGTATTTGTTGGAAGGAAAGAAATAACAACATTCAACCTACTGCTAGCAATTTAAGACCATTTTTTACTGAACAACCCAAATAGTCCAATAAATATGAGTTGAAAGAGTGATTTTAAATATCGGTACTATTTGGGATTATATCCATATTTTATCGATTAAAATATGGGTATATTATGGGTAATCTACGAGTCAAATATGGATATTTCAAGTTTTCTTCAAATTTTCAAAAAACCTTGTGTTACCAAGTTTTAAAAGCTATTTTTCAAAATATTCATATATTGTTCACTATTAATGTTTCAACTCTCGACCTCCACCCCACGCTTCCCAAAAAAATTAAAGTTTGTTTTTAACTTTTTCATCCCTACCATCCTCCCCCATCACCCCCAACCCCACCCCCACAAAAAAAATTAAGTTTGTTTTTAAAAAATATTTTCAACTTCAAATATTTATTTTTTTCCCTACCTTGGTCCCACCCACCACAACCATCGTCCCGCCACCCCCTACCCCCAACCCACCCCCACCGTCGACCCTCGAACCCCGAAATTTTTTTTAAAGTTTTTTTTTACTTTTATAAGAAAAAAAACTAAATAAAGCATTTTCAACAGATTTCATCTAAAAAGACTAAATTATTGTTTTAATATTGATTTCTTAAGTAAAGAACTATTTATTCATAAAATATGGGTAACATAGTATTTTACTCAATCCATTTTTATCCATATCAAATATGGGCGGGTTGAATGATTACCCATTTTCAACCCGCCCACATTTGACCCAACCCGCCCATTTGCCACAACTTATTCAACCTATCAGTATTACATATATAGCACTTGCAAGGCAAACATTAATAATACAAAAAAACAAAATGAATGAAAATATAGAATTGTTTGACGGTAGAATGACAAAGTGGGAGTAGGGATACACAATATTTAGAAATAACTATTTTGTTTGCACCCGATTTAGGAAGTACATTTTTACAAAGTTTCAAAGATAATGCAAAATCATTGTCAAAGGGTCATGGATAAGTATATTTATTGATTTTGTGTCTGACATACTATTTGTAGCCATATATATAGTATTTTTGTTGGATCCACATGTATAGTATTTCAAAGATGATGCATTAGATTCATGCATATAACAATTATACCTGCATTTTTATATTATGATAATATTCCATTATATTTCTTAATTAGCAAGTAAAGCTAAAACTATTCTGATTACGACAACCTGACACATTGACGTTTCTTAAGATGTCAATTTTTCTAGTAGATGAAGAAATAATTTCTGACTAATCCTAATAATTATTCGTGTATCCATATTGGAGATTAATAACCTAGGAGATTGTAGGAGAAATAACCTACGGAAAGGTAGAAAGAGAAATGGTGGTGGCACTTCTAGACTTGCAACATATAGAGGCATTGTTAAAATAATATTTCATACTGATTTATTCATTTATTGGGTTAACTTATGTTTCCTAGTTTTCTAATAACAAAGATAAATTTTATATTTTTCTAACCAGAATGACCATAGTGTGCTGCTGGTCAATTGCCCATCTCTATGATACTTATCTTAGGCTATAACTAACTATAGTTGGAAGATTTCTTAAACCCCCTTAAGGAAATATTTCATTTACTTAAAACGACTACTTCAGATAAAAAAAATAACTCAACAAAAGCATATATTTTCTTAATTGTTCTGCACAAGTGCTAAACAACAACCAGACACAAAGAACATTCAAGAGCAAAAACTTATGAATGAACTGCATATACCTAGATAACACAAAGGAGTAGCAATTAAGGTGGGAATCTCAAGTCTCAGCAACTACAATATGCATAATAAAGACAATAAAGGTAAACACCAATTGGGCAAAAGAACAATCACGAACAACAATATATAAATGAAATGCATATAAAATACAAAATCAGTAATAATTAGTGTGACAATTTCAAATCTCAACAACTATAAAATGCATAATGGAAGACGATAAAAAGTAGATATCAACGGGCAAAGAACAATCACGAGCAAAAATATATAACTGCATATAAAATACAAAAGCAGAAACAATCACGGATAGAGCTAGCTTATGGTCAGAAAGTTCATCCAAACCCCTTGGCAAAAAAACGATTAGAATAAAAATTACTTCTAATTTCGATAGTCAAATATGAAATTTCATAACCAAATTGATGTACTAGCTCGAACTTGAATCACTCTCCTTTAATTTTCTATCAATTGCTCGTAGATGTAATACCCTCATTTCTAAGTCTCTTCTTCTCCTTCTCTGTCAATAGTGACAATGAAAAACAGAAAAGTATAAAAAATAAAAACCAAAGAAAAATAATTGAAAATTGGAGGAGATAGAAGGACACGTGTATTGTACAAGTGTTTATTCTCTAGTGAATTTGGCTCAAATGGTGTAGTACAATTTTTAATGTTGTTGGTACAACTTTCTAAAACTGTATTGGTACTCCATGTTGTTGGATGTTTATTTTGTTGATGAGGAATACCGAAGGTTTGATGATAAGTTACTTTAACGTACACTTCAGGTTTCTTTTGGTACGACCATCTATTATCGTGTTGGTCCTCCTACTATCACTTATTAATCAGGGGATATATATATATATATATCCCTCTCATTTTAAAACCCTCCTATATGTTAGAAGCCTCTGCAATCACTCTCAAGCAAAAAAAAATATACGTCCTCTAAAAATCTCCAAATTCCTTCAAAATTCAAGTCGTTACATATAAAAAACACATAAGATTAAGTGCTTTTCTTTATTCCATCTCCAAAGAACCCCCTCCCCCCCATTTGTAACTTTGTTTTTCTCATATTTTTTAAAGAATCTTCCAAAAATCAGTCGTATCCTTTCCCTATGTTTTCGTTGTTTTGATGAAATCTCAGTGTAAAAAATATTGCAAATAATCTGACTTCACCTAATCATCAAACAGTCAAATTCAATGAGATTGAGAAATGGGTGAAAATTGAAGTTGAAGAAGGAAGAAAAAAGAAAATGATTTAGGTTTGTTTGAGGGGTCATCCGATCAAATCGAATCTGCTCAAACAATGATCGCCGAATTCAATTGGCTATATTTTTTCTTCAGATAGTAGTGGGTATTTTTATTCTGACGGGGGACAAATGGTCTCCTTTAAAAGGTGAACCTAGTTCTTTAATTGGGTCCATTTGCTCAACTATGTCCCAGAATTTCGAAAAGATAGTTGTGGAAGAAAGTAAGATTTTTGAGTATTAGCCTTTTAAAATAATGGTATGGTTCCAACTTTTAACCTCTTTTATGTTATAGAATTTTACAGTATTAAATTATTATTATGACATTGAATTATTACATGATCAATTGTGTAGCGAAATGTAGTGGGCTAGCCTTTATAAGGCTCTTCCAAGTAATACAAATTATACTTTTATCATCTTCTTATGATATTTATCAATAAAATACATAGAGAAATAGCACAATATAACCACTTTTAAGTTTTTTTTGCAAGTGATACACCATAGTGTGAATTAGCGCGGGCTAAAAAATTTTAAATTCTTTTAAGTGATATAATTTACGATTTTAGCTTATTTTTATGACATCTTAATCATGTAGTAATATAGTTTGGGATAACCGTTTAAAACCTCTTTCAGGTAATACATTTTACAAATTAAACTATTTTTATGACATCCTAATAAATAAACTAGGTGGTAAAATAAATACGGTAGGACTAATCACTCTTTTATCTCATAAGCTGAAAAATATCACTATTATGATAAAAGTTTCAAGATTAATAAACTTCCTAGTTCTACTATATGTTTCTTGTGTGTATTGTACATATTAACTCGTTATATTTAGGTATTGGCATGCGTAATTAGGAAACACATGCTTCTTAAATGCGGTTGTGCAATCTTTTATACACACTGTTGTGTTGCTTCAACTACTTAGATCGATTGATCATGTATCTCCATGTGAAAATAAGGATTCAACTTAAGATTTTTCCTTTTATTTTTTATCAAATTTTTATTTTCTCCTACCTTATCTTATCATCATTTCTTGTTGCAAGTTATGATTACAGATTGTGTGGTATGCATAATAAGAGAGTTGGTTGACATTTTGATGGCCAACGAAACTTGTCAGCCAATTGAGAAGTATATCCAAACAAAGTTGTTTATTTATTTCCTTCTAAATTTTACTTTTTAATTTTCTTTATAGAGAAAATTTAATTATCATTATGTACCTTATATATCTTTGTGTTTCTTGATATTGTGAAAATATGAGATATTTTGTCAAACTCCAATGTGAACATACAAGAAGATGCATACGAATTCCTACAATCCTTTCTCAATAAACTTGAAATTTGTGGTAACTATTTAGAGACTAAATAAAACATTGTTAAGGAGGCCTTTGGTGGTCGCCTTGTGAGCTAGGTACGCATTTTCATATCTGTTCTCTCTATTTTATCTTAGTTTCTTTTCTCCTGCTATTTTAGCTTTTTCAACTATTTTGTAAAGATTTTTTAACATGAACCAAGAATCTGTTAGTAATATCCTCTCTACCTTCCAATGTATGGGTAAGGTTTGTGTATTGTCAATCCTCTCTAGGCCTCACTTGTAAATATTTTATTCATTGTTAGTGTATTTTTCTCAATTTTAAGCTTTGTTATAGCAATTGTGGTTGTTCATCAGTCACACGTGAAACTCTAATCGACTTAAGATTGGATATTGAGGAGGTTGACACTGTACCAACCACAGTAGAATCTTTCACTAAAAACAAGAAAATTGAGTTCTCTTGTGAAAGGTGCAAGACACAAGGGCCATTTGAGAAGAAACTCCTCGTCAATCATCCCCCTGATGTTGCTGTCCTACATTTAAAGCGATTCAAAAATAACGGGTTGATTGTTAAAAAGATGGAAAAACATAGACATGCTTCTTTATAGCAACGACATCAATAATGTGAGTACCTGTAATTAGACTTTTACAAATATTTTATCTTTTGTTAGTAGTTCCATGATGTTGCTTCGAAATTTTCTTTTCTCGGAAGAAATTAAGTACAATCTCCATGTAGTTATAGTGCTTTCTGGACTTCCAATCTCTTCAGGACACTATCACAACTTTATTCATTGTGCTTCAAATAAATGGTACAAATTTGATGACGAGAAGGTACAAAAATAGTAGAGTTTCCTTATTTTGTTAGAAAGTCTGTGTGTTCATGATAATTAACTTGATATTTTATTTTATTTTTATAGGTTGATTATGTTCAGGAATATCTTGTTTTGGCAGAACAGACATAACATTTGTTTCATGCAAAGAGGGTTACTCCGTGGTTTTCAGACTATATCAAAGCCATAAGCCATTCGTATGTCTGGTTAACCCCTGAACTTCAAATGATGCTTCAGATGAGCCAACTCTGTTGCCTGAACAGAACAATGTTGAGGATAATGATTCCCATGGTAATGTCATCATTTAGAGTTATTTATTCAAGAATCCATGTTATTACTTACTAAATATAAAAAGCTTATCACTCTCTTTTTGTCCATACACAATATTCTACTATTTGAAAATTCTTACATTTGGTATGTTTTTATTGGTATTGAGTTCACTATTTGCATAGAATAATCTACCAAAAATGTCCTCTCTATCAGTACGAGGTACAAGTAAGATATGTATACACTCTACAAGGAGTTTGTTGTTGTTGTTGTTGTTGTTCACTTACACGAATTCAACTTTCTTTATTTTTTTCAAGGTAAGATATATGTTGAAACAAAATTATGAGAAATCAATCATTTTCCACTCTAAATACATATATTCATTCAACTTCAATAAAAATGTGTTCACACAACAACTAACTGTATCTTTTTACAGCATTAGCATATCACATTTATTGCGAAGATCAATTGCAAGACAACGAAATAAAGCATAACGAAGAATTGGTTGATGCATTAAACTGTGACTCAGATGGAACCTTTATGAATGAAAAGAAGAGGAAGCTGGAAGATTGAAGATTTGTTGTGATGACAGGTTTACCTTTTCTAATGGTAAGAGTATGAGCATACACAAATTGAGTAATTTGATCTACTAAAACAGTCTTTTTTGAATAATGCTTATGGTTTTGATATATGAATTCAAAATTTCTGAGTTTATTGAGTCAAAGTTAGAAATATATCTTATTAGTTTTGGATAAATTATTTATGCAACCAAAATGTGTTTTTGGACTTATTTCTCCTGTACATATAAAATAAAATAGAAGTTACTATATTGCTATATAGCATTTTGGCTAGAAACTTTATTCTATCGAACTGGTCATCAAGATCGAGTTAACAATGCAATTAATAATAAGTATTCCTTGGTCTCCCAATATTTTGGGGCCTCAATTTTAGTAAGAACAAAATAATGGTCAAAATATATACTAATAGTTGAAGAAGTGTTGAACATAGTGAATTGCAAATTATTTCTGCTATCTTATTTAATGTTTCTAGCATTACAACAAGCATAATAAAGTAAGGATCAAGTTATCAATATCTTAAAATAAGACTTTATTGTTCTAACTCTTAACTGTATTAAAATTTGTCGACTTTTTAGCTAGCTTCCGCACAATATTTGGCGCTTCATTTTACTTTAATTGCATATGATATACCAACAGGGTTAGCTTGGGGTCACTCGTGATCCTAGTTCAGGTGTCTGCATCATGAGGGTAGCTTCGGGGTTTGAAAAACTTTGTATCAAAGCATTAGGTTTAAGAGTCCTAGGATATCAGAAAAGTCGCACTAAGTAGAATCCTTATCATGGGGGTGAAGTGCATCACATTTAATGATATGGAGGCTACGAAGTGTTTTAGGAAAAACTTAATTTTCATGTTACACTTATTGTGCATAGGGTTTGATTTAATTCCTCTTCCTTGCATTTCAGATCGTGCCTCCTCATACAACTAACACACATAATGCAAAATCTAGGGATGCAAACACAGCTTCTCTAGTCCCAAATTAGGAAGTTTCGAATGGTGAGCTTATGCAAACTATCAAGTTGTTGTCTACGAGAGTGAACAACTATAACAATCAGTTGGTTCCAGTTCCAGTAGATAATAATGTTGGGTCACCTGCAGCTAGAGTGCGAGATCTTTTTAGGATGAATACGCCTGAGTTCTTAGGATCGGATATTGGTCAGGATCCCCAAAACATAATAGATTAGGTCAAGAATGTCTTTGAAGTGATGAAGGTAACTGGGAATGATTGAATTAAGTTAGCATTATACCAACCGAAAGATATGGCCCATATATGGTATACTTAGTTGAAAGATAAAAATGGTATACACACAACTCTTGTCACTTGGGATTAATTAAGTGAAATCTTTCTGCATAGGTTCTTTCCAAGAGAGCTAAGGGAGAAAAATATCAGGAGTTCATTAAGTTAAGTCAAGCTAACATAATAGTCCAAGAGTATGCTCTCACAACTCAGCCACAGATGAGATTCGGAAAGAAATGGCTCAGATGAGAACTAAGCTTGGGTTGGTACTAAAACATGTCACAGGGGGTGCAGAATAGATAAATGCAGTCAACTACTTGGCAAAGCCACCACCTCCTAATGATGAGTGCTATTATGCGGAGGACACTTATGCAGTAAATGAGCCGACGAGGGGTTTCCGACCAAGCGCCCAAGTCTCAAATCAGGATAATTGGCGCCAAGGTCAAGGGAACCAAGGTCGGAACTATGGTAACTACAACCGTGAGGGTCATTATGTCCGAGATGAAAACTAAAACCTCTCACGTTCACCCAACTCTCCAAGTATATTCTCACATGGTTGTTGATTCGAGGTATGTAATGAAAAGTTTATATATGGAGTGTCAAACATGGTGAAAAAAGACTTAAGGAATGCTATGTTGCTAAATAATATGAACATCTATAGGTTCATGACTCATGCACAACAGGTTGAGATAGATAATCTTAGTGAACATGCTAAGGAGAATAAGAAGGCTATAATCGGTAACTATGAGTATTCTCAACAGAAATTGGGTGGTGTAAATCACTTGCAGTCGTAGTAGAAATTCTCAACTTCAGCACTTTCATCAGCTAATGTTTTGTCCTCCAAGCTTAGACATGATGAAAATGGTAGGGTATTTGGCTCTAAGTCTCAAGAAAGTATCTCAGTTACTAGATACTAACTAACTTGTCCTAACTATGGTAAGAACCATCCTGGCGAGTGCCTCAGAAGAAAGGAATGATGCTTTAGGTATGGTGTGACTGGTCACATGTTGCGAGATTGTCCTGATAAATAGAGTCAAAGAAGTAGTAATAGTAGAGCTAAGTCCAAAACTTCTGTAGCGCAAGCAGGTCACCTGGCTCAATAGGGTAACTTATCTAGTACAGGTGGCGGTCAGCTCTAGGATCTTCTGTCTCACCAGGATGAGGAAGATTCTCTTGATGTGGTCACTGGGACTTTGCAAGACTTTAATCTCAATGTTTATGCATTGTTAGTTCCTGGGGCTACTATTTACGTTGTAAATCCTTCTATATAAATGAAGTTTGATGTCAGTCCAGAAACTCTCTCAGAACCCTTCTTAGTCTCTATTCCAGTTGGTGACCTAGTTATAGCTAGAAGGGTATAAGAATTAGAAAGTCACCTCACCGGATCTTGTAGAGTTAGAAATGGTAGACTTTGATGTCATTCTAGGCATGGATTGGTTACATTCATGTTATGCCTCATTCGATTAAAGAAATAAGATTATTTATTTTCATATTCTAGATGAACCAATGTTAGAATGGAAGGGTAGTTTCGTAGCGCATATGGGACGATTCATTTGTTACCTTAAGGCCAGAAAAAAGATCTGTAAGGGTTGTCTCTATAATCTAGTTTGAGTTAAAGATTCAAGATCTTAAACCCGAGCTCTTTACTTAGTTCCAGTAGTTAATGAGTATCCAAAAGTGTTTCCCTAAGTTCCTCATAAATGGTAAATCGACTTTGGAATACATCTCTTACTAGATACCTGATATTCCACAAATTGGACTCATTTAGGGCTTTATTTTGATCGAAATAGTGTCTTCAAATGCTTATTAGTATCAATATTTGATGAAAACCTTTAAGTTTCTGGTATTTGAAGTTTTAGTGTAATAATGGACACTTACGCGCAAAACGGAACAATAAGGCTGAAAAGAATGAAGAAATTGAACCCTAAGCATCGCCAAGTACACTTGGAAAGTCACTGAAGGGACGTACTCCACCCTTTGATCCAACATGCGAAGATCTATAGAAAGAGGATAAAAAATATGATGAAAGGAGAAATCCACTCTTCCCCAAACATTTTTATGAAACAATTAAACCGCTCAATGGTCCAGAACATCAAGATGTTGACGACAAGCACAAAATGGTGATGAAACAAAAGAAGGGAGAGTCGCCGAGTTATTTGACAATATTGATTAATCTCACCGAATTATCTGCCATGGCACTTAATCTGAGAACTATAAATACTAGCCTTAGTTATAATTTTTAAAAGATCCGAACATTATCAAAAATTTCATTTTAGAATACTATCTTCTTGTATTTTCTCTCAATTTTGGATAGGGGTTTTGGGAGACTTGAAGAAAGAATGATTTCATATTCCCCAAGTTGGAACTGAGTGTTCTCCAAATTTATTCCTTTGCTTATATCAAGTATTAATTTCTTTGATTTTAGTATCATTTAAGGTGTATCTTTTTATTGCTTGATGTGTGGCTAAAAATCCCCATTCTTGGGGTGTGATTTTGCAAATATGAGTTGATATTATTGTTGGGTTTGCTTACAAATAGGTTAGATATATCTTAATGGTGATTTCACCTAGTGATTGTGGTTTAAGTTGATGGGTTTGTAGTTGAAAATACAAAATAGTGATTTCACCTAGTGGTTGTGGTTTAAGTTGATGGGTTTGTTGTTGCAAATACAAACCCACCCATTTGTTTTCATCTTGCCCGATAGGGAGGTCGTGTAATCAAGATTGCTAGAATGATGGACTAAGGAGTGGGTGGACATGAGGTTCAACTCGAGAGAGTGAGCTTTAGTCCCATATCCTAACACTGAGCTCGAGAGAGTGAGTGGGGTAAGGTGTAGGCTGGTGTAATGACCCAAGGGCACCCCCTAGTCGTTACCGGTGTATTCAACCTCGAAGAGGTCTTATACAAGCCCTTAGCATTCGTCAAAACATGTATCATAGAATAAAAATACGGAAAAATTTAAAACTTTTACATTGGAAGTTCAACTTCACTTCATATATGAAAATAGAATCTATGTTCTTCACATCATACCATCTAGATACAGGAGAATAGAAATTTGGGACATAGACCATACATAAATAAGAAGTCTAGAATTAGGAAAGTAGAACAATGTCTTTCAACGTAACAAAAGAATTAAAAGTTAGAACATAATGGCCTTGTGCTTGGACTTGAGGACTCACTAACTTGGAGAAGCAAATCCAAGTGTCTTGAGAAATAGCCTTGGAATCTCCTCAAAGGCCCGAACCTACAATGTTTGGAAAAAAGGGAAGAAAATATGGGTTAGTACATCCCACATACTATGTATGGCTTCTATGCATAAAAATCATCAATGCATGTATAAAAGGACAATTTATTCAAAACATGCTTTTCACCAAGTAAATTCAATATGCACATAAAGTAAACATCATAAGCCAACCCAACATGATATCATTCCTACATGTACATAACCCAAGAAATACTTGTGCAATGCAAAGAATAGAATCCCATAACTCTGTTCCAAGCTAAGTAGCACGTTCTGGAACCTACTTCATAGAAACATTCATAATATCACATTACATCATATCTGCTCATATTCATGAAGATCACACATAGCTTACATACATAAGTCATTAGAAACATAATCATAGGAGAAAGCCACTACAACCATCTCTTAGGATCTCACAAGTGCAATGCGTAACAGAAGTTTCATACCTTCCTTTACACCACATAGAACCCCATAAGAAAGCCCTAGTGCGAGTTCATAGATTTCATTCATTCATTTACATTTACATTAGGAAAAGAGGTTGCAATAACCGACATGAGGCCATGAGAGCTACATGGAACCCGATGTTCTACTCCTATACCAAAAAGAGAGAGTTATCACTTGCCTAAGGTGTAATATTTTTTACATAGATATCTAGGTGGATCCACTAAGCTAGAGTCCTATGTGGGCACATAGTTAAGGGTCAAGGAGATTGTTGCTAGAAACCCAAACTTG